GGCTCACAGATACTTCCAAAACGAGCTTGCAGGTGCCGATGAGTCCGTGCAGATGACGCAACCAAGCTCAGGAGGAGCTCGATGAAGATCTTGCCCTTTGTTTTCGTTCTAGTTGATCAGTAGTGGAGCCCAGTTGGGGTCGATCGGGGACCTTTGTCGCATTTGGGGTTCTTCTTTTATTTTGGTTCCGTAGTCGGACCCTGTTTGTATTTGGTTGATGTAATGCTTTATTCATGTAATTGTGTGAAGTGGCGATTGTAAGCCAACCATGTATCTCTTTCCTTTATATATTACATGGGTTGTGTGAAGATTACCTCACTTGCGACATATGCCTTCAATGCGATTATGCCTCTAAGTCGTGCCTCGACACGTGGGAGATATAGTCGCATCGAGGGTGTTACACAATATTTGAATCTTCTCTGAATTCTTTTATGTATGATTGGTTATCTTTGCAAGTCTCTTTGAATTATCAGTTTGGTTTGGCCTACTAGATTGATCTTTCTTGCAATGGGAGAAGTGCTTAGCTTTGGGTTCAATCTTGCGGTGCTCGATTCCAGTGACAGTAGGGGAAATGACACGTATTGTATTGTTGCCATCAAGGATAAAAAGATGGGGTTTATATCATACTGCATGAGTTTATCCACATCATGTCATCTTGCTTAAAGCGTTACACCGTTCTTATGAACTTAATACTCTAGATGCATACTGGATAGCGGTCGATGTGTGGAGTAATAGTAGTAGATGCAGGCATGAGTCGGTCTACTTGTCACGGACGTGATGCCTATATACATGATCATACCTAGATATTCTCATAACTATGCTCAATTCTATCAATTACTCGACAGTAATTTGTTTACCCATCGTAATACTTATGCTATCTTGAGAGAAACCACTAGTGAAACCTATGGCCCCCGGGTCTATTCTCCATTATATTAATCTCCCGTCAACAAGTTATTTCTGGCACCGTTTATTTTGCTATCTTTACTTTTAATCTTTATCATAAAAATACCAAAAATATTATCATATTATCTCTATCAGATCTCACTCTCGTAAGTGATCGTGAAGGGATTGACAACCCCTTTATTGCATTGGTTGCGAGGTTCTTATTTGTTTGTGTAGGTACGAGGGACTTGCGTGTGGCCTCCTACTGGATTGATACCTTGGTTCTCAAAAATAGAGGGAAATACTTACGCTACTTTGCTGCATCACCCTTTCCTCTTCAAGGGAAAACCAACGCAGTGCTCAAGAGGTAGCAATATGTAATTTCCTTCTTCCACGAACCGACTCTGTACAACCCTAGGCCCCTCCGGTGTGTATATAAACTGGAGGGTTTAGTCTATGAAGATCATCAGAATTCATACAGGCTAGACATCTAGGGTTTGGCCACTTCAATCTCGAGGTAGATCAACTCTTGTAACCCCTATACTCATCAAATACAATCAAGCAGGATGTAGGGTTTTACCTCCATTAAGAGGGCCCAAACCTAGGTAAACATCGTGTTCCCCTTGTCCCCTGTTATCTTCGATCCTCAGACACATTGTTCGGGACCCCCTACCCAAGATCGGCCGGTTTTGACACCGATAGTGGGCCTCCTCTGGTAGTTATTTGCTCCAATATTCCTCATATATTACAAAATAATTCTCCATAAATTTTTAGCTCATTAGGAGATGTGTAGAATAGGTAACTCTGACGTAGCTTTTCCAAGTCCAGAATTCCAGCTGCAGGTATTCTCCCTCTTTGTGTGAACCTTGCATATTATGAGAGAAAAGGCATTAGAATTACTCCAAAAGGCATTATTATGCATTAAAACATAGTAAATAACAATAGGTAAACATGATGCAAAATGGATGTATCATAGTACCACAGGTTAGGGGTAGTACCGTCCTGGACCCAATGATAGTACCACCTGGGTACTAAGAATGGCAGGAGGCCGGTAGTACCCCTCCCCTAGTGGTAGTACCACAGGTCCAGAGCAGTAGTACCATTTAAAACAGTAGTACCGTCCCATGGCCAGCGGTAGTACCGCTTGCACGCATAAGTGTTGCCTTTTTTCACAAAACAAGAATAATTATGGCTTGATTCATGTGCTCCAGCAAATAGACCTAGATAGCTTCACATATATTCTTTCACATATACACCATAATTATGAAGATTAATAGACATAAGAGAAAATTAAAAATCTAATTGTAATCCATAGTAAGCATCAACGGTCACACTACATGTTTTAAATAGAACCACTTAATAAATTACATGGGTCATAGTGAATATCTAAACATTCTTACACGCTTGATGGTGGCTCCCCTCGTTTCCAACTGTCTAACTCGGCCACTTAGCTTCGGCTCGCCACCCCACCCTCAACCATCTGCCATCACCACTGGCTTTTTGTCGCTCCTACCATATCCATCTAGCCCTTGTACTCCCCTGGCATCTTCTCGACCGCCTAAAACCTTCCCATCGCCGTCAATGCATGCATCGGAGATGGTGATAATTGAGTCTTTGATTAGGTCGATGTGTGTATTAGGACCCCATTGCGTTAATGTGTGCTACTTAGGCTCCTACTTGTTGTTTCTTTGAGGGTCCTTTATGCAGTGTTGTAATAATTTTGCAATAAAATGTCGATTTCTAGGAAGTTAGGGTTCATATCCTTGTTAAAAAGAAGTATGTACTTATCTAGATAGCCAGCTTGATGTGATCGCTCTTTTCATGAAACAAGAATAGTAATATATTGATTTATGCATTGCAACAAACATACCTAGCTAGCTTCACATATATTCTTTTGCATATATGCCATACTTACCAAGATTAGATAACACGGGAAACTAACACCCTAATTCTAATCCATAATATTCACCAACCATCACACTAAATGCTTTGGTTAGAATCACTCAATAAATTACACGTGTCATCTTACATGTGTGATGGTAGCTCTCTCCTATTCAACTATCTGACTCCCTAACAATCTAAGCATTGTCTCTACCATCCACCATTGGCGTCATAGTCATCCCATCCTCAACCAACGCCCACTACTGTTAGTTTTATCACTGATCCTGCCATCCATCTAGACCTTCTATGCCCCATCACCTTCTTGATCGCCTAAAACCTCCCATCCTGGCAAGGCATGCGCCAGAGACGGTGGCAATCGAGTTTCGAGTTAGTTTGTTGTGTGCATTAGTATTCAACTACGCTATTCTATGCTATTTGGGGTCCTAGTTGGAAAAGGAAAGGACATTGTTGTCATATAGTTTTCTTTTAGGGTCCTTTATGCATAGTAGTAACAATTTTGCAAGAAATGCCAGCTTGTAGAACCTTTGGGTTCCTATCCATGTTAAAATATGTAGAAGTTGAGCTGGCTCAAAGGATTTCCCTATTAGAACTCCTTGGACCATGTTCAAGATTACCAGATTAGGTAGTTCAAGAGATGATAGGCTTTTCATCATTTTAGACCTTACATGAGATGACCATGGGCCTCCCTTGTAAAGAAATGCACCACTTCCACTAATAAAAGAAGAGCCATACCTAGCTAGCTAGCTTAATGTGTTGCCTATTTTGAAGAAAAAAATAGCAATGGATTGATTTATCCACCGCAAAGAACATACCTAGCCAGCTTCACATATATTCTTTTGCATATACGCCATAATAGGAAGATTATAATAGACAGAAGGAAATTGAAACCCTAATTCAAATCCATAATATTCACCAATAATCACACCAAACACTATAATTAGAATCACTTAATAAATTACATGGGTCATATTGACTAACTTAACATTCTTACACAGCTGATGGCGCCTCCATTAATCTTCAACTATCCGACTCCCTATGATGGTAGGAACATTGTCTCTCCCACCTACGATGGTAGGAACATTGTCTCTCCCACTAGCGATTGGCGTCACTGTGGCTTCTCTTCGCGTCGCCACCCTACCCTCAACCAACCGCGCCACCACCACTTTTGTCGGTGCTCCCACCATCCATCTAGCCCTTCCACGCTCCCATCTTCTTGATCGCCAAAAATCTCCCCATCGCCGACAAGGCATGTGTCAGAGACCTTGGCAACCGAGTCTTCAATGAGGTAATTGTGTGCATTAAGACTCAATTAGGTTATTACCGTGCTATTGAGGCTCCTAGTTGCATCAGGAACGAGCTTGTTGTTATTTATGTACCTTTTAGGATCCTTTATGCAGTGTTGTAACTTTTTTGCAAACAAATGATAGCTTCTAGGACTTTAGGGTTCCCATCCTTGTTAAAAGAAGTATGTACTTACCTAGCCAGCTAGCTTGATGTGTTGTCTCTTTTCATGAAACAATAATAATAATGGATTGATTTATGCACCACAACAAACATATCTACCTAACTTCACATATATTCTTACACATGTATGCTATAATTATGAAGATTAATAGATACTCCCTCTATTTCATAATATAAAACGCTTTCATAAGCTATGTTAGCTTGTAAAAACGTCTTATATCATGAGACGGATGGGGGCAGAAGATGAAATCAAAACCCTAATTCTGATACATAATATTATGAGGCGTCGACGGCTTCCTCCTTATTCAACGATTCGACTTCCTACCAGTGTAACCATTATCTCTTCCATTCCTCTTCGCCTCGCCACCCCAACCTCAACCACCCGCCATCACCGTCGGTTGTGTCGTCGCTCCTATCATCCATCTAGCTCTTCTACGTCCTCGTCATCTCCTCCGTCGCCTAGAACCTCCCACTCTTCAACCCTGACCCTTTTGCATCATGAAGTTTCATCCTCGTCTTCACCGCCGCCACCAGCCGCGTGGCTCCACTCTACCTTGTTGCCCTCGCTGGGTCGAATCCCACGCGTCACGGACGAACCGCACGGTCTAGAAATCAGCCGCCGTTTCGTGGAGTGGCACTGGACTGCGCTTTTTGGCAAAGCAGATAAAAAAATCTAGTCTGAAGTGCCTGACAAACATTCCGTCCGATTCCGACCACCGACCAAAACCTTCGCAAACCCCTCCGCTGCCGCCATGGCTCGATCTCACGCCGACCGCCCCTTCCGCCCGCCGGATCGGGGTCCGCTGCCGCCGCACCGCTCACAGCAGCACAGCCAGCCGCACCCGCAGACCGCCGCGATCCTCCTCCTTCGCGCGGGCCCCGATTTCTCCTCCCCGTCCGCCACGGAGGTCGACGCGCTCGTCGCCGGCCTCCGCCCCGACAGCCTCTCCGTCTTCTCCTCCGGCCGCCACGCCGCTCGCCTCCTCTTCCGCTCCCTCCCTGCGGCCGCGGCCGCGGCGCGTGACCTCTGGTCGCTCCGCCTCGAGGGCCGCCACCTCCTCACCCCGTACCTCCCCGACGCCGCCCTCGCCGCGAAGGCATTCCCCCTAATCTCCTCGCTCTTCGCCTCCCACGCCTCCCGCCTCCTCGACTCCGACCTCGTTTCCCGTTTAGCCGCCCGCTCATCTCAGCTCGCAGCCTCCGTCCAGACTGTCAAGCACCGCCTGCGCGTCCGCCGCAGTAACCTCCGCGACTTCGATCAGTTCAATCTCCAGAGGAAAACGCTGGAGGCTGACAAGGATTTGTTAGACGCTAAAATTGCCGAGTATAAAGCAGCAATGATGTCGATACGTCGTGCGATGCTAAGTGGGACGGATGAAGAGGAGGAGGTGGACCAGGAGGAGGAGGGGGTTGATCTGTTTGGGATTGTGGAAGATGATGATGTGGATTTTGCGAGGGTGCACACGATGATGCTGCGTGAGTGCAGGCGGCTCAATGAGGGGCTACCAATCTATGCATACCGTAGAAAAATTCTCAATCACATATTCGCTAACCAGGCGAGTTTTACGAGTTCTTTGCAGTTATATTTGTGATGTTTGCAAATCTACAATGCAGTGTGAGCCAGACTTTTATGCTTAGTTGTTAGAACCATAGTGGAAAAGCAGTGTATGGAGTTTTGTTGTGTATATATTATAATTTTGCAATGCGCTGTTAAGTTTTAACTTTGCTTATGTAGGTTAAGTTAATCTGAGTCATCTCTTGTGATTTTAAATATTGGTAGTATTGGCAGAATATTCTTGCTCTAGCTTTTCCAATGGAACTGCACCTAATGATCTTCATTACAAGGTTATGAGGTGCATTTTTGCCGTTGAGGTACCAACATTTTGATCATGTAATTTGGTCTAATATTCAGTAGTCAGCGTTTCGCTTTACCCACAATTTCCCCCCTAGGTTTCACTTGTTTGTTATTTTTCTAAATCATGAATAATGACATAAAATTTGTGTTTTAAGTTATGTATCTTTGTTCTCTACAGGTTATGATCTTAATTGGGGAAACTGGTTCTGGGAAAAGCACACAATTGGTTCAGTATCTTGCTGACTCAGGTCTTGCTGCCAACGGTTCAATTGTCTGTACCCAACCTCGAAAAATTGCTGCTATAACGTTGGCACGTAGAGTAGATGAAGAAAGCAATGGCTGCTATGCAGAAAATTTTGTGTCGTCATGTTCAACCTTTTCCTGTTCTCGGGGCTTCAGTTCGAAGATCATATTTGGCACAGATAGTTATCTTTTACATCACTGCATGAACGATACGGGCCTGGATGGCGTTTCATACATTATTGTTGATGAAGCTCATGAAAGAAGCTTGAACACCGATCTTCTCTTAGCTTTGATAAAGAAGAAGCTGCTTGATAGGGTGGATTTGCGACTCATTATAATGTCTGCCACTGCTGATGCTAATAGACTAGCTGAATACTTTTATGGCTGTCAAACATTCCATGTTAAAGGGCGAAATTTTCCTGTTGAAATTAAATATATCCCAGATGTATCAGTGGATGCTTCCTTCAATATTGTACCGAACTCTCTGAATGATGCTTGTGCTACTGCTTCTTATGTCAATGATGTTGTAAGGGTGGTAAGTGTGATTCACAAGAATGAAGAAGACGGTGCCATACTTGCTTTCTTGACATCTCAACTGGAAGTTGAGTGGGCCTGTGAAAACTTCAGCGATGCAAGTGCTGTGGTACTTCCTATGCATGGAAAGCTTTCCCATGTAGAACAGAGTCGTGTTTTCAACAGCTACCCCGGTAAGAGAAAAGTTATCTTCTGCACGAATATGGCTGAAACGTCGCTGACCATCAAAGAAGTGAAGTATGTTGTTGATCCTGGACTGGCCAAGGAGAGCAGATTTGTGCCTAGTAGTGGTCTCAATGTGCTGAAAGTAAATTGGATTTCCCAAAGTTCCGCTAATCAACGTGCTGGCCGGGCCGGTCGAACAGGCGCAGGGAAGTGTTACAGGCTTTACTCTGAATCTCACTTCAGAATGATGGAAGTACATCAAGAACCTGAAATCCGGAAAGTTCATCTTGGCACTGCTGTTCTGAGAATACTTGCTTTGGGTGTTAGGGATGCACAGAATTTTGAGTTTGTTGATGCCCCAAATCCAGAAGCAATCAATATGGCTTTGAAGAACCTTGAACAATTGGGTGCTGTCAAATGTAAATGTAATTTGTTTGAGCTGACTGATACCGGACGCTACCTGGTCAAATTGGGAATTGAGCCAAGGCTTGGCAAAATTATGCTTGATTGCTTTGATTCTGGTTTGAGGAAGGAAGGTGTAATTCTAGCTGCTGTTATGGCAAATTCTAGCAGCATATTTTGTAGAGTGGGCACTAATGAGGAGAAACATAAAGCTGACCTTCAGAAGGTCCGATTGTGTCACCAAGATGGAGATCTCTTCACTTTACTCGCTGTTTATAAAAAATGGGAGGATGGGAATGGAAACAGGAATATGTGGTGCTGGCAGAACAGCATCAACGCCAAGACCATGAGGAAGTGCCAGGATACTATATCAGAGCTTGAAAATTGTCTAAAGCATGAACTCAACATTATTATCCCAAGTTATTGGTGTTGGAATCCTGAGGTTCCCTCTATGCATGATAAGTTGCTAAAGAGAATTATTCTATCATCTCTTGCAGGCAATCTTGCTATGTTTTTAGGACATGAAAAGTTTGGTTACCAGGTGATTTCGACAGATCAGGCTGTGAACCTTCATCCCTCATGCTCATTGCTCAATTATGGCAGCAAGCCAGAGTGGGTGGTGTTTACCGAAATCTTATCAATCCCAAATCAGTATTTGGTATGTGTAACTGCTGTTGATCATGATGCGTTGTATGCACTTCATTCCATGTCCTTCATTCATCAACTGGAGAAACATAAGCTGCAGATAAAAGTGATTAGTGGGCTTGGTCATAATTTATTGCGAAGATTTTGTGGCAAATATGGCCAAAATCAACACAGGATTATCTCACATCTCAAGGAAGAATGCAGGGATGACCGAATAACAGTCGAAATTAACTTCAAAAACAATGAAGTTGTGTTATTTGCTACAAGGCAGGACATAGAAAAGGTCTTCTGTATTGTTAACGGTGCTTTGGAGTGTGAAGCTAAGATGTTGAGGAATGAGTGCCTCGAGAGAAGATTATTTCCTGGGAGGCCTGGCAGTTCTCCTCTTGCATTGTTTGGCTCGGGTGCTGAAATCAAGCATTTGGAACTTGGGAAGAGGTATCTAACAGTAGAGGTTCTCCATCAAAATGCCCATGATATCAATGACAAGGAGCTTATTTTTTTGGTGGGCAGTCTGATCCCCGGTGTCGCTAATTTTCATAAATCAGCTGGGAACTTTCGGATAGCCTCAGATGAAACGAAATGGGGGAAGTTTACATTCCTCAAACCTGAAGATGCTGAAGATGCTGTGTTAAAATTGAATGGAATAGAGTTTCATGGTTCCTCATTAAAAGTGGTTCCAGTATGTTCTTCTGATAATCGAGGATTACCATTTCCTGCGGTAAGAGCTAGACTATCATGGCCATGTAACCCAAGCAGGGGGCGTGCATTTGGGACCCGTTTGCTCAGGCTCAGGGAAGCACCCATAATTGGCCCTTCTGTTTCTGCATGTGAAGAAGCGCTGATTAGAGAAATTTCTTCATTCATGCCAAACAAGAGTTTTCCTGGACAAAATTTCCGTGTTGAAGTCTTCCCTCCAGAGGAAAACAACTCAATGATGAGAGCAACTATAACTTTTGATGGAAGTCTTCATCGAGAGGCTGCAAGAGCGCTGGACCATCTTGAAGGAAGCTTTCTTCCTTGTTGTCAACCTTGGCAGATGATACGGTGCAAGCATGTATTTCATAGTACTCTGTCCTGCCCATTACATGTTTACAATGTTATCAGCCAGGAAGTTAATTCTCTGCTTGAGAGTTTCCGAAGCCAGAAAGGTGTGCTTGCATTCCTCATTTCCTGCCTGCTTAAATTTCTTCGCTGTTCTATTGTTTGAATCATGTGTTTTCTTTGCTTTTTTAAAATGGAACACATAGATTCCATTAAATTTGGCACACGGCTAAATTTCTGGCTACCACACCCCAAACATCACCATGAAAATGGTCCGTCCAAATTACACGATCATCTAGACCCTGATCACACCCCAAGGCTGCAAAAAGATGTGACGTCATTACTTTTACGACGAATAAATTCTGTACAGTACACATCAAACGAGAGCAGTAACATACTCTTTAAGGTCTTTTACTAGTGCACTGGATGTTGACAAATCATAACCAGTGTTAGACAAAGCTTGTTTAAGCTCTAGGCAGTCGGTCTCAAGGACAACTCAGCCCATGCCTAAGGAGGTGACATGATGAACATCATGCTGCATTGCTTGAGCTTCCAAGTCCACATGTGACAGGCTTCCTTCACCGGCAGCAATTAAAGCCCCTAGATGATCCCGGACAGCAAATTCCCTATCACCAGCATGCACAGTTTGACAGATAAGCATCAAAGTTTACCTTTAACCACTCCAGAACAGGAGGTTTTCCGGAGCTCACAAATCTGGGTATATTCACTTTCACATTCGGGTGGTGTTCTAAGGATTCAGAAATGTATGTTGCAAATCTTAATTGGAAATCAGAGACTGGTTCGACTGCGTCTTCTGTGTTACCTTATTGTGGTGAGACCACTAAATACGTGAAAGTGGCAAGCTTCATAACCGCACTGCCTCTTTTCCAAAATAAATTTCACAGTTCCTTTAGCTGAGATGCACTTCAAGAGATTCAGCTTTTCTTCTTCGAGGAGCACCGCATGCTAACACATTTTCACAATTTTTTTGCAATATAAGAGGTGGTCACCATCTTCATTTTGTCATCTCCATAAGGGATTGTGCATAATCGCCTCTCCTTCGAATATTCATTTGCGTTCCTAGTGTCCAAATAAAATGGTTAACTTTACTTGGGCACAGCAAACTCAAAATTCTCTTCCAGACATGATTATAAGACTTATCTGCACTATTTGAGCTTCCACAACTGCTGACACCTTGCAAATCATGTTGCTTCATGTAAAATTCATATGCTGACCCCACTTCCTTTAAATGCACTCCCTCTACTATGTTCCCATGGACCAATGTTAAACGTGAGAATTGACAGAAATAATTAAAAGTTCAGCCCAAAATGATCCTAGTCTTTTATTTATTTATTACCAAATCTGACCCTTCCACTTAGCGCCAGTCTCCTTGGTGTTGAACTTGGCTATGTCAAGGCCATACACTTTGGTATTTGAAAAAACTTAGAACTTTCGTGGAACAAACACGTTCAACGCCATACACCCCGGGGTTGAGCTGTTTGTGCTTAACGCCAGAGTGCATGGCGCTGAACTGTGTTACCTTTCTCATTGTCATTTTTGCCTGCCTCAAGCCATCCACCACATGTGATTTTCCCGGTAGCACAAGGTGAAATAGCAGAGTAGGCATCAGTGATTGCCATCTTGGAGCAGAAGCTTGCAAATAAGTTAAAACCTGTACGTGCATGAATAAAGAAAAGAGAAAAAAAGAGAGTAAAGGATGAACGCTGCTACTGGGTATGAAAGAATCTTTCTAGGCCAAGCACTGCCGCTCGTTATATAACAAGCCAACACTCATTGTTTTAATTCACCCGTGGGTCAAAGAAAGGAGGCCACGGTTCAACACCATATATGTTGGCGTTGAGCTCTAACAACTAAACACCAGCTGTTGAGCCTATCATGTGTGTTTGCTCCATAAAAATGCTAAGTTTTTTCAACGCCAACATATATGGCGCGAGCAAAAGCGTCAGATTTTGTCAGAAGTTTACATTAGAGTTATTGTTGGCTAAACTTCTAAATGAGGGTCAGTTCTGTCCGTTTTCACCTCTAAAGGAGAGATGGTCATTTAATTGAGGAGTTGTAAACATGACATATTAGTGATGCATTATCATTTATTATCACTGCCTTGTTTGTTTCCAGGGGCTAAAAATGGCAAGTAATTTTGATTGGGGGTAGTATGTGTACATACAATATTTTTGGTGTTCCTGTTGGTATGCAACTTCTTTTTTGGTTGTTGTTAAATTCAGGAGTATGTGTTATTTCAAGAATCACCGCAAGAGTTTGTTGGTAGATACACTAGTTTACACATGTATGTGTGTGATCACTTGCAAGACTGCAACCAAGGTATACATCCAAGAATCTGTAACATTAGTAAATAGGGATATCCCCTTCCTCTCCTTGATAAGCCTAAATCACAAGTGTTATGCTGCTAATCTTATGTAGCTTCATTTCCGCATTTATATTGTTTGTGTGGTTGTTTGAGACTGCAAAAAGCTTAAGCTTATATCTACTGGTGAGTTTGAAGATGTAATCAGTTTTCTATTTCATACAGGTGTGTCTTACAATTTCGAAAAGACTGATAATGGTATTTTCCGGTTAAAGCTCACTGCAAATGCCACAAAAACAATAGCAGATTTGAGAAGGCCTCTTGAGATTTTGATGAAAGGCAACACTATAAACCACCCTGACCTGACAATAAGTGCAGTTCAGCTACTTTTGTCCCATGATGGTGTAGCACATTTGAAATCTATTGAACAAGAAACTGGTACTTACATTCTTTACGACAGACAAAGTCTGAATATTAAAGTCTTTGGGCACCGAGATCAGATGGCTACAGCAGAGACAAAATTGGTGCACGCACTTACAGAGCTCCTTGAGAAGAAGCCCCTGGAAATTAGTCTTCGTGGCCATAACCTCCCTCCAGACTTGATGAAGAAAACAGTAGAGAACTTTGGAGTTGATCTGGAAGGACTTAAGAAAGAAATGCCTGCAGTAAATGTTGAGTTACATAAACAGCGACATCTACTTAAAGTTTGGGGTAGTAAAGAGGATAAGCGAAGGGTTGAAGGGATGATCTCTGAGCTGATAACCTCTGTTAAACAGAATGCCCTGGTTCAACTTCCGTCAGGGAGTGTTGGAGGAAGTAAGGATAAGCAAAGGGATGACAATGAGCTGGCGCAGGATGCGTGCCCTATTTGCTTGTGTGAGACTGAAGACCCTTTTGAGCTTGAATCATGTGGGCACATGTTTTGTCGGGCTTGCTTAGTGGATCAGTGTGAATCTGCCATGAAATCTCATGATGCGTTCCCTGTTTGCTGCCTGAAAACTGGATGCAGGAAGCCCTTCCTCATAGTTGATTTGAAGCACCTGGTGTCTAATGAGAAGCTGGAGGACCTATTCAGAGCTTCCTTAAGGGCATTTGTTACATCTAGAGCAGGAATGTATCGCTTCTGCCCGACACCTGATTGCCAATCCATCTACCAAGTGGCAGCTCCAGATGCAGAGACCAAGCCTTTTGTCTGCGGGGCTTGCTATGTCGAGATCTGCACCAAGTGCCATCTTGAGTATCATCCTTTGATGTCCTGTGAGGCTTACAAGCAATACAAGGAAGACCCAGACGCGACGCTGCTTGAATGGCGCAGAGGGAAGGAGAATGTGAAGAACTGCCCTTCGTGTGGATACACGATCGAGAAATCTGAGGGCTGCAACCATGTCGAGTGCAGGTGCGGCAGCCATATCTGCTGGGCATGCTTGGCGAACTTCAGGAGCAGCGAGGAGTGTTATGGCCATCTCAGGTCTGTGCACCAATCCTTTGTGGACATTGTGTAGAACCTGGATGTAGATTTTTGCACATGCTGGCTGAATGATTATATTTGTTGTGTATACAATGTAGGAAGATGATGATGTTCGTCTGTCTGTATATTAACCTTGTTATAATTGCATGACGATAACTAGCGCACATCTGTGTTGAAAATATCTTGACCATTTTATCCATGTTTACTTAAATCGTTTGGGGACTTCTGTTTACGGATGACTGAGAGCATTGCTGGCATCTTTGTGGGTGAATCTTTGTTCCCCTAAAATCACTTTATTGGTTCCATGTTTCCGTTTTTGAGTTCATGCTCGTTCAGTTCTTGGCTGGTTTGACGAAGTGTGTGCATCAGAGAGATGGGGGTTTGGATAAGGGCACAGTTCCTTCTCCAAACCAGTGAAGCCCTCCTGCAAAGCACAGGCTTTCTAGGTGGTTGGTGCAAACAGGGGTTTCTAGGCTTGAGTGGAGGGTGCAATACTGGTTTCTCCACATTAATCCTGGCAGTTTTTTCATACTTATGCTAGCATAGCAATATTACCCATAACCATCACATTACTGCTCATGTACTTTGTCGACGTCCACAACGCTCATCAGCGGTACAAAAAGAAATTCCTTGACGCTTTCTCTCTTATCGCCGTTACTGTTGCTGGGTAGGAGTACCTGCCTGAGGGAATTTCCTAACGGACGCTCGTTGCGTCAAGTTTTTTTTTTTTGAGACAATCCACGAAGCTTTTTATTCACTCGTCACAACGTTTACAGGGACGAACTGAAGTTCACCAGGGTTGCCCAACTAAACATGGTGGCCAATCCCTAATTTCAAAACATGCTTCGCTAGATTGTGAGCCTCGACATTCGAACTCCTAAACTCATGCACAAAATTACATAACTGAAAACTACGAAAGTATTCAACAATCTCACTAATGATAGCCCCATAGTTAGGACTACTCTTTTGCTTGATATCATCCACAACGCCTTTGCAGTCTGATGCAATGTGTATCGTCTGTAGCTGGAGGTCCTCTGCTAGTGCCATTGCTTCCCGGATCGCCAACGCCTCAAGAGTAGCAGGGTCAGATATAGAATTGAACACTATGGCCGATGCTCCAAGATACAGACCCTCCTCACTCCTGCAAATTGCAGCGATTGCACCAAATCTCGATCTCCTCATAGTGGCAGCATCAACATTCACTTTTATCATGCCTGCGGGAGGTTTAATCCAGCCTGTTGGCCTCACCCTCACTGAATACGCAGCTGATCTCTCCGTGCTCTTGGCAACTTGTATATCATTCAGAAAGGAATTGATGAAACAATGGGTGGAGTAGGGACTCTGAAATATATCTTCATAAATTGCCTTTCGTCTTGCTGCCCAAATAGCCCATAAGGTTGTCGTCATACGGACAAAAAGATCGCTCGACAAGGCTTTCTTCATTGCAAAAAGCCAATCCTTAACACTATCAGTGTCGAAACGGCTGACCTGATCTAATATTTCCTCGTTCGCAAGTGCCCAAACACTGCAAGCCATCGAACAGTTCAGTAAGGCATGTCTCCACGAGTCTCTCGCGCCGCATAGCGCGCACGTTGATGACGTGGACATCTTTCTATGCTCCAAAACATCAGCTGTTGGAATTGAGCTCCGAGCTAAACGCCAAAGAAACAACTTGATTTTAGCAGGTACATCTGTTTTCCACAGCTCTGTCCATTCCGTTTTTGCATTGTCCGCCGCAGAAGAACCACCACGTTCCTCGATCCAGTCCTCCCTCGAGATCTTGGTTTGCATAATAATTATGTATGAAGATTTGACAGAGAATGAACCTCTCTGCTCTCCGCTCCAAGCCCAGAAATCCTCTACGTTTCTTGTACATAACGGGATAGCTAGCACAGCTTCAGCATCAATGGACAGGAACACCGCTCGGACCAGCTGCTCATTCCAGCTCGCTGTCATCGTGTGCATCAATTCTGAGACCAATTGTGGAGGGTTCGGAGTAATAGGCGCAATGGGCCTCATCATCCCCGGCCGTGGTAACCAATTATGCGTCCATATATGCGTGGTTTGCCCATTACCAATCCTCCTGATAAGGCCTAGCCTAAGCATATCTCTTCCATCGAGAATTGCTCTCCAAATTTGTGAAGGTCTACTGCCAAGCTCCGCCTCCATTGCAGATGAGTGAGGGAAATAAGCTGCCTTGAGAATCCGCGAGCTTAGTGAATCAGGATCCTGAAGTATCCTCCATGCTTGTCTTGCTAACAAAGCAAGGTTAAAAACCTCCATATCCCGGAACCCGAGGCCTCCAAGATGTTTTGGGCGTGTCAAAATGTCCCAAGCCACCCAAGCTGGTTTACGTTTCCCCGCTTTACTTCCCCACCAGAACTGCCGAATGATGGAGGAGATGTTCTCACATAGGCCTCTGTGTAATCTGAAACAAGCCATCGAGTAGACAGGCAGGGCTTGAGCCGCTACTTTAATTAAAACCTCTTTTCCTCCAACCGATAAGAGTTTTTCCATCCATCCCTTCACCTTTTCCCAAACTCTATCTCTGAGATATTTGAACGTTCTCATCTTTGATTGCCCCACATCAGTTGGCATGCCCAAATAGCGCTCATTCAATGATTCATTTTGGACTTGTAGAGTTGCTTTGATACTATCTCTCAACTGTTGCGGGCAACCTTTACTGAAAAATATGGACGACTTGTCATGGTTGATACGCTGCCCCGAAGAATTATAGTACAACTCCAGAAGGTTTGAAACCTCAACTGCCCCCTCTATACTCGCCTTGAATAACAACAGGCTATCATCCACAAAGAGGAGGTGGTTAACAGCCGGAGCTGTGTTTGCCACCTTAATCCCCTCAAGCACAGACGACTGTGAACTGGTTTTTAGTAGGCACGAAAGGCCCTCTGCTGCAATCAAGAAAAGATAGGGGGAGATCGGATCTCCCTGTCTGATGCCTCGTGAAGGTTTGAAGGATTCAAGTTTCTCTCCATTAAACATCACTGAAAATGACACCGAGCTGATCATACTCATAACAATATTTACCCATTGTTGCGCAAAACCCAACTTGATCATGATAGCCTGAAGATAGGACCACTCCAGACGGTCATAAGCTTTCATCATATCCAATTTCAACGCACAATGACTGTTGCTCTTTGCTTTACTTCGCTTCATAAAATGCAGACACTCATAAGCGCAAATAATATTGTCGGTGATCATCCGACCTGGGACGAACGCTGATTGCTCTTCTGAGATTATATCCGGCAAGATAACTTTCAACCTGTTTGCAATAACTTTGGATGCAATTTTGCATAACACATTACATAAGTTTATTGGACGAAATTGTGTAAGGAGCGTTGGATCCATCACCTTGGGAATAAGAACGAGCACCGTGTCATTTACACACTCTGCGCTTTCCTCCCCCTTAATTATCCACAATACTGCCATCGTGACCTCATCTCCGCAGATCTCCCAGTGTCTTTGATAGAAGTGTGCTGGGAAACCATCTGGCCCTGGTGCCTTGGTCGCTCCCATCTAAAAGAGCGCCGTCTTGACTTCCTCCTTTGTGTACGGTGCCATCAGCATATCATTCATATTCTGCGTCAAGTTGTCGAGGCTTCGCACAGAGGCGAGCGACCTATCGATCAAGACGGGCCGGCCCAATTACGAGATAGTGCACGCGCTACAGCGTTCGGATTTGGGAACCTTCTGGAGGGTTCCTGAAACGGTTCTGCGAACCTTCTAGAAGGTTCTGAACCGGGTTTTCACTGGTTTTTTTTCTGTTTGCTTGTTGTTTTTTGTTTTTCTGTTTTTTGTTTTTCTTTCTTCGTCTTTCTGTTTCTTTATTTCGTTTCTCAATTCCTTTTTCTTCTATTTTTATTTTATTTTTGTTCTTAAGAATTTCAAATTCTTTTCTAAAATTCTAAAATGTTTAGAAGTTCAAAACAATTTCTTGTTATTAATTTTTGTTCACAAATTCAAAAAATGTTCCCATATTATTAAAAATGTTTGCTTTTCAAAAAAAGTATATAAGTTCACAAAATGTTTATGTTTTCAAATTATGTTTGGGAGTTTCAAAAAATCTTCCCATTTCAAAATTTGTTCATCAATTACCAAAACTGTTCATGTTTTCAAATTTTGTTGCGAGTTTGCATAAATGTTTCCATTTAAAGAATTGTTCACAAATTCCAAAAAATGTTCATGTTTCAACTTTTGTTCAGCAGTTTTAGAAAATATACGCAAGTTTTAAAAATTGTTCATGTGTTCAAGTTTTGTTTGGGAGTTTCAAAATATGTTCCCAGTTTTATAAAATGTTCGAGTATCCAAAAATTGTTTTCGAATTTAATGTTCGGGTTTTCAAAAAAACTTTCACGTTTTCTATTTTTTGGGAGATTTTACAAAAATGTTCCCGTTTCCAAAAATTGTTTGCATTTTTCGAATTGTTGAGTTTTTTCAAATTTTATTCACAATTTCAAAAAGTGTTTGCTGTTTCATACAACCTTCACGTTTTTTCTCAAAAACAACGTTTTGCGTACAAAATTCTAAAAATGTTCGGATGTGCGCTCGGTTTTGTTCTTAATATGTTGTGCTGCATTACACACCAGGTAGCTCTCTAGCTCAACTGGCTAGCTGTACTTCTTTGAAGCATTTGAAGCATCTGGTCTCAGATTCGAACCCTGCTTTTGCAGATAGGACCTCCCCCTACCTGAGGCCTCATTTGGTACGAGCGGATCGACAGGGTTTCTAGAGGATTAACCCCGTGGGGCCCAGAAATCTCGCTAATCCTCGTCGGCCCACTTGTTTCGCGGGGTTTGCGCAGCCGAATCCCTTCGACCCCCTTCGTTCCCCTCCTATCCACGCGGCTGGCCAGCCTCGCGGGCACCCGTGCGGAATGGGACGCACCGAGACAGAGCGTCGCCCCGCCGCCGCCGTCCTCCTCCGCCGGTACTTCTCGAGGTGATTCCTCCCCCTCTCCTCCACTTCTCCATCCCCTCCCCTGCAAACCCTAGGGCCATGGCCGGCCGTTCTGCAGCAGTTCGATGATGCGTCCAATGATGAGACAGGCTGCTTCCATGGCCATCCTTCTCCTCTCCTACATGGCAGCAGTTCGATGCGTCCATCGATGAGTCTGTCTGTCTCTTCTCATTTGCAGAACACGGCCGTTACCTTCAGCAGCCTTCTAGCCTGGTCTGCTAGAAGCAAGCTGAGAGTGTGGTATTTATCTAATTGAATCCATCGATCTGGAGCACTGATTGTTGTTATTGTTCCCTAGTGTCATGGGCTAGGGGTGTTATTTTAGTTCTAGTTTAATTTATGGCCTCCCACAGGCTGCTGTATCCCCACGCAGATTGATGTATTTTTGGACAAAAACAACAAACAATGATAACCTCTGTATCCCCACATTTTTTATATTGATCTTATGTTCATTTGTATGCATTAACATTATCTGTTCGCTATTCTTCTCTATCAGATACAACAGTGTAATATCTGTAACTGAATCTTAGTTGATTTTGTTTCGTGGTGTCATCCCTTTTTCTTGAAGCGACAAAAGAGAGATGATAGATGCACTTGCAAATTGGACGTTCCATTCTTCTAGATTCATAGCAATCCAACAATGGATACTGATTGTTGGTTCCTTCTTCAGTATGCTTCATTTTGGTCCCCATCCATAAATTTGCAACTGATGCAGCACTCATGTACACTTGTAACTTGGTTACTTTATTAGTAACTGAATCCTAAAACAAAGGCAGAAGGATGATACATGTAACAAAGCCTTTGTATCTAGTTGCTACTATTTGTTTTCTCTAAATAAAATTCTCTAAAATAGTTGCTACTATTTGTTAGGTTGAGGGCCTCATTTTTTAATTGGCACCGGGCCTCCGTTTTCTCGGATACGGCCCTGATCATGAAGCTAACTAATCTTTTGATTCAGAAGATTCCCACATCCCACTTTTGTGCAACTCTCACACTCTAATATATCCTTGTCCTGTTTATCCATCTGTACACAGGAACTTTTTCTTTTCTTTTCTTGGTGCATAATCCGGGTGAGCAACATTGGTTCTCCAATACCAGAGTATATGTGCCATCTAGCCTAGTCTGCTAGTACTATCTTCCATGCATTCATTATTTAATTCTCCACTCTCAGACTATATAATACAATATGAAAATTTGATAAACAACTAAGCAAGGAAATTCTGTTTGTAGTTTCAAGTCATGCAAAGTTGTTGTTGTGATGAGATATTGATTTCAAGTCATGCAAAATTATGCTGCTGCTGGGAAAAACTGCTGCTAAATTATTCCCATGTAGCAACTTTGTCTCATTTTTATTAGGTGACCTTTACAATTCTGTAGCAAGGATATAAGGGGAGTTAGTTACATTGTAAATTTGGATTTTTAAATGTTCTAGACCATGTTTTGTCAATATGACAAAACTTGCCTACCAAACAGAAAATTTAAACAAAGAGGATTGTGGATGAAGGGGTTTGGGGGATTCAAGGGGTTTTGAGGGGATTGGGTGGAAGGAAGGGATTCACCCAATCCCCTGAAATGCCCCCCTCCCCAATCCACTTCTACCAAAGAAAGCCTGATGGTTGTCATAATCCGCAACCAAGTATTCGTGATAAGTTCAGCTAGGCAGAGTGTTAGCATTGTGATCCTCCTGCTGTTGGTTATGTCTCATGTAGCTGTGGTTTCAAGGGCTCAGAAGACGAAATCGAAACAACGAGAAGAACCACCTTCGGAAGAAAGAACTGGATTACTTGGTGAGGAGGCTGCGCAGCAGGATTCTGAGAGTGCCAGCTCTAGCACCGCGCTCATGGGATCTGGTCAGACAAAGAGAACCTGAGTGTAGTGCAGGCCATGCGTAAGTCAACTTCTGGCAGACTGCTGTCTTTTTTCTGTAGAGAAATGAGGAAATGCATATTTATGCAAACAATCTTAGTTTCCTTCTGCATTTACAAATACACAGTGTTGGGATAATGTAGTATTGTACTACTTCCTCTACCTATAGCAACATTACAACAGTCGCTTCATGCATGAACTAGCAAATGACAAAAGGAAGCTACATTATTTTATTTCAGTTGAGTGATATATGTCTTATCTGAACCAACACTGCGTCTTTTGGTCACGGAGCATGTAGTCTCACTCTACTCCTGTATCTTGTCAGCTTGCATGTTGTCTCCAATGGCTTCCTCTGATGTTTTGTCCTTCCCTTGGTCTTTCTCCTTGGCTTTCTTCATTTCAGCCTCCTCTTTCTCCTTGGCTTTCTTCGCTTCAGCCTCCTTGGCCACCTCTTCCTCCTTCGCCTTGGCGACCGCCGCGTCTTCTTTGGCCTGCTTGAGCGCCTCGATGAGGCCTGCCAAGCATACGTCAGGGTCCCTCTTTTTCTTCTTGGACATGGGCATGAGGTTCTCTGCCACGTCAGCGGGCGACATGTCAGTCTCCTCGAGCAGCTGCTGAATCTCCCCAAACAGCTCGTGCTCGACGACATCCAGGTAGTTCTTGGCGAGTACCTTGAAGCTCTCAAAGCGGCAGTAAGACATCTCAATGTGCTTGTCCATCCTGCCCCGCCGGATCAGTGCCGGGTCCAGCTTCTCCTTGTAGTTGGTGGTGAAGATGATGATCCGCTCGCCGCCGCACGCAGACCACAGCCCGTCGATGAAGTTGAGCAGGCCAGAGAGCGTCACATTGGCCGCGTCATCCTTCTCTGGCTCGATTGGTAGCTTGGGTTTGTCGTTGCCATCAGAGTCCTTGTCGCGAGAGGCCTTCTTGTCCTTGCGGCGTTTTCCGGTGAGGTCGGCGGAGCAGTCAATGTCCTCTATGACGATGATGGACTTGCCCGTCGTCTCGATGAAGAGCTTCCGCAACTCGGTGTTGTTGTTGATGGCCGTGAGCTCGAGGTCGTAGACATCGTAGTCGAGGAAGTTGGCCATGGCGGCTATCATAGTGGACTTGCCGGTGCCGGGCGGGCCGTAAAGGAGGTACCCGCGCTTCCACGCCTTGCCGACCTTAGCGTAGTACTCCTTGCTCTCTTGGAACGCCATGAGGTCATCGATGACGTCCTCCTTCTGTTTGGGGTCCATGGCAAGGGTGTCGAAGGTCGCCGGGTGCTCGAACGGTACATGGCTCCAGGCGCTCTTGGCCCCGTAAGGGCTCGAGCTGCCGCTGGCTTTGTTGGTGAACAGGCGGCGCTGGCGGTTCTTGATGATGACGGTGCGGCCCTCGCCGAGGATGAAAGGCAGGTAAGAATCGAGGACGAGGTCGTGGTGCTGCTTATGGAAGGTGACCCGGTAGAAGCGCTTCTCGTCCTCGCCAGGGTACAAACTGATGACATTGGACTTGGGTCGCTGCTTGGAGGCATGCCACCAGAGCGTGGCGCCGGAGAAGTCGTCGGTGACCCCCTCGTGGTCGTCGATGGAGACCTGGATGTTCTTGCTGTCCTTGCCGAGCTCGGCTTTGAGCCTGCGCGCGCGACGGGCACATGCGTCGCTCAGGTAGGCCTCGACGGCAAGGAAGAGCTCGCTTCGCTTCCAGCGCTGGGCGCCGTTCTCCGAGATGGTGATCTGGAGGTAAGGGTTGAAGTAGGCGGTGAGCTTGGCGGCCAAAGCGGCGAGGTTGAGCCGGAGGGTGTCCGGGATGTGGTTCTGCACCATGGACCATAGGAAGATGGTGCTCGCCACTGCCGATCCGAACCATGGCCACCACTCCACCATCGCCCCCTCCATGGCTGGACCTCACCTCTTGATTTTGTGTCTTGGGTTTTTCTTGCTGGAAGGCTGTAACTCTATCTGGCTCTGCACCGGACGGCACCTGAGTGAGTGAGTGGTTGTGCGTGTATATAGTGCTGGCTGGAGACGTGTGGTGATTCACTTAGGTTAACCCAGGTCGTCGTCTTTGTCATCATCGGAGCAGATCGTCGGGGTAGGTGGAGAGGAGCTCTCGGAGCCGAGAAAAATCGGTGAGTCCATACACACGGAACAAACTCATGAGTTCCCTTTTCCCAGTACAGATTGAGACAAGGTGAGTGAATGGATGGGTCTCTCCTAGCCAACAGGCCATGTTAGGGTATTTCGTATTGTAGCACTCAATCCATAGCACAATTTTTTTGAAGAAGAAAAAACACTGTATCTTTTTATGCAAGGGAGAGTACAGCTCACTCTGCTCCTGTCACTTCATCACTTGTCAGCTTGCTTGCTTGATGTCTCCATTGGCTTCCTGTGATGTCTTGTCCTTTGCTTCACCTGGCTACCTTCCTGGCTTTCTTAACCAGGAGATGGTTTACTTTGGGTTCAAGTAAATTAATTTCTGCAGCTTTTCAGCCCTAGCAAAATCCTGCCACTCCCTTCTTCGTTTTCCAAATTTCAAGAGCCATTTACATACAAGATTGATGTTGGTAGAACTGAAATCAGTGAACCCAAGCCCATCTAGGTTGGTTGTCACACACATCAAGCCAGGTGGTACTGAAAAGGTCAGAAAACTGCAAATTCAGTCTCCTGTAATTCTAACGGTCTAGTCATAAGCTAGGTGTGGTGTAGTGATTTACTTGACTTGAGCACTACCGGTAGCCGTTGTTGTCGTCGTCGGAACAGGAGAAGATGAGCTATCAGAAGAGATAGGCCTTTTGCCCAGTATACGTGGAGTCCTTGGTAGTAGTCTCTACCTGTGTTTTGATTTTCGGCCGCAAAAAGTGGATTTCGGCCGAATTTCGGCCATCTCGGCCTGAGGCGAAAAGTATATTTAGGCCGAAATTGCTCAAATTTGGCAAATTTTGATCAAATTGCAGTCAAATTTTGGTCAAATTTCAGCCGAAATTTTTGAAAATGGCTGAAATTCGGCCATCTCGGCCTAGGGCGAAAAAAAGCTCAAACCGAAAATCAAAACACAGGTCTCTACATAGCAACATTACAAGTGGAGCTAGATGATATTTTCCTTTAAGAAACGCTGCATCTTTTGAAAGGGAATCGTTCTAATTCTATCACTTGTCACCTTCCTTGATGTCCCCAGGTGCAGGTGGCTGGCGAGGTATGGGCGGAAAGTGGTGGAGAAGCAAGATGATGGTGGCCACCGCCAACCCGACCTGGAGCTGGCCCTCTTTGATGTCGTGTGCCTTGGGGTGGTTTTACTCTTGCCTCCATGGAAAGCTGTAGCTCGACCTGGACTGGACGCCCGTGTGCTTGCATATATAATGCCAACGATTTGTGCGATGATCTGCTTAGGTTGAGCCTAAGCACGCATCGCCGCTGCGGTCGCCATCGGAGCAGGTCAGGAGGAGTTATCGCCTTATCGGAGCTGAGAAGAAGCAGGCGAGCATCGACATCGATCGACCAGTCCACGGAAGTGGAATTGCTTAATGCTAAAGGCAACGGGAACTGCATAGTTGGCTGCAGGCTCCGCTCACTTTGCAGCAATCAAGGATGAAGCTCGCTCTTGGGCCATGGCTGGAGCTAGAGGAATGAACTTAGGGCTAGCTGTAACCTGATCGTGTCTTTGGGGGACTGAGCAACCCTGTGTCTTCTGCTCATCTCGTCACCACAGCGTTGCCATTCTTGTGCATGTCTCTGTGGTGATCCCCTGTAATTTCTAAACTTTCTCCCATATCAATGCAATGATACACCATCTAGGCATATTCGAGAAAAAAAATAAGATTCCGGTTGCTAATTTGGTCATTGCATCGCTGTCGCTTTTGTAGATGATGGATTGCGTCTCTATCCTGTCACTGACAGCTGAGTATACAATATCCTCATCTATTTGGCATCAACAACCTGCATGACTGTATTGTTCAGGATTTCAGGGGTAAGGATATGTGTCCACCTACTTTAGAAGAAGACTAACACCTGTGATCCGTTGGGGTAATGAGACAACCTTAAATCCTTTGTGGCCGATGTAGCTACTTCGACTCAGGAGGATGGTGTATATTGGGCATTGTAGAAAAATAATACTTTCTCGGTCAAATATATGTATAGAAACTCCTTAAGGTTTGGCCACTGATAGGCGCCGGTCGACCGGCCCAATTTCGGCCGGTCACCGCGCGAGCGTTTGATTTGGTCCACTGCAACCGTACGATTGTACACATCATCTTCTTTCCCACCTTATCTTCAGGCAATCATGGAAGAAAACTAGAAAAATCTGTCACTACTGACAAGAAGAGCCACAACAGTGACGAGGTAGAAGGCCCAACAGCCAGAGGAATCAACGAATCTGAAAAGGGAGAAGTGCCTACAACTGGGACCGAGCTGTAAGTGAGACGTGAGTGAGTGGCCCGCGAGCCATCGTATGAGGATAAGAGTGGTTGTGGCCTTCTATCAATTTTTGCATCAAGATCTAAAAACTCCGAATCATTGAAACGCCTTCTAACTAAAGTTGACTCATCTCCAGTTTCATATTTATCAAGATTTACATTGGAAAATAAAGATTCAATAGGAGTCACATCAATTACTTTAAGATCTTCCTCATTATTCAAAGCCTCTGGTTTCACTGCCATTTTGTTTAGTAAAGTAGCTTGTTTATCAGAAATTTGACTTACTAAATTTTCAAGATGCGCCAACTGAGATCTCAAACCATAAAATTCTTTAGATATATCATCAAGCTCTTTATTCATGTATTCCATAAAGCTTTTCTGCTCCTTGAGCTCGTTTCTAAAGAAATTGTTATGCTCAAATTGTAAAGACATGAACCTTCTAACATTATTCTCAATTTCGTCTACCCTCCTAAGGTGAGGGTCAACGTTTTTTGGAGGGGTCATTGCGACAAAGCAAGCAGTCCAACACACGAGCACACAAAAAGTAAACGAAGAAGATGAACGGAAGATGGTGAAGAAGATGCGAATCTTTTTGAAAATCATATTAGAAGTGGGGGAGAGAAAAACAAGAGGCGAATGGCAAATAATGTAATGTGAGGGATGAGCGTGAAAGAACATGCGGTGCCCCATGTTTAGTTTTGGTAATTGATGACAATCTCTATGGACTAATGACTGCCTTGAGTTATATTTGAAGGTTTTGTCCATAGGCTTTTTTTGGAGTACATGTGTTGGTTTCAAGGAGAGTTTATGTCGACCAAGATGCTATTCAAGGAATTATCCAAAGATTGGTCATGTGAGTGTTGAGCTTATTGTAAGCATGTCTTGAAGAAGAAGATTGTGTGATCATTCATATCTACCTTCAAGACATCATCCAAATGAAGAGAATTGGAAAGATTCAAGGTTTATCAAGATTAAGTCAAGAATGAATCAAGTTGATCAACACACAAAGCATACAAGATGTACTGAGGGATCAAGTGATCCCATGGTATGGTAAGCATTGTCCATTATGCTTTGTTTGCTAACTCATGGTTTTCGTGAGAGTTCTTTGTGGGGTTAGGTGGCGATGTGCAAGTTCAAGTGGAGCATCATGAAGAGATCAAATGCTTGAAGCTTGTCGTCCATTATGGTAACAATGGATTTATGAAGATATGCCGAAGAGTGGCTCACCCATAGTGGAGTATGGGGGAGCAATGAACTAGTCTTCATCGAGCCAACACAATCAAGAAAGGTGGTCCAACTTGAGGAAGTCAAGATCGTCATCATCTAGATCAAGTGGACTATGTGCAAGACAAAGGTTTGCTCTTGATAGGTTTTCTATTTTACCGGTCTCATAGTGGTAGTTGGGAGACCGGACTATAGGATCGATTGTCGTACTATCAAGGGGGGCTCTCGATGAGTAGCTTGATCATATCATTCGTTGAGAGCTCAAACCATTGCATCCTTGCATTATCTTTCTTGGTTCTTGTTTGGTTCTCTTTGTGAGTTTTGGAGCTTATGGTCATCTTGATGACAAGCTCGAGTTCATCGAAAACGGAGTTCACTTGCATCTTGTATGATGTTTTCGATGTTGGAGGTTATGTCTGTTCTTCTCTGTTGGAGGTTTCACTCCTCCATTTGTTAGGCATACCTACCCTGCCTCTTCTTACTATAACCAGTCGCTGTTTTGATGCCACTCATCGTCTTGTTTCCAACAAGCTTGAGTTTGCTCAATTCGGAGCTCATATGCAGAAGTTATGGCAGTTCTGGTTTTCCGTGGAGTATACTTGCTTTCGTGGAAGTGGCATAAGGATGGTGCCAGCGGTGCCAGCGGTAGTACCGCTTATCGCCACAAACGGCAGTACCGCTGTCCCACAGTGGTAGTATCGCCCATGGCCATAAGCGGTAGTATGGCTCCGGTTCCGTGCTGGTACCGCCTCGACTCGAGACGTGGTTTTCTCGTGTCGGGTTCAGCGGCAGTAGGAGCGGGCGGTAGTACCACTCATGTGCGGTAGTACCGCGGCTACCACCGCCCCTAGTGCCGCTCAATGGCCCTCCCCCCTGTTCCTTCTCCCTGTGCTCGTGGTGGGCGCTGTGCGCGGTCCCAGCGGTAGTACCACTGCGGCCAACGGTAGTACCGCTGGCTCCAGCGGTAGTGCCGCTCATACGGCTCTGCCTTGCACTCTGTTTCGCTCCGCTCTCTGTGTTCTACCGCCCGGGCGGTAGTACTGCTCCCTTGAGCGGTAGTACCGCTTGTGCGCGGACTGAGCACATAACGGTTGGATTCGGGAGCTCCTTTAAAAGGGGGTCTTCTTCCCCATTCAACCTTATCCTTTGAGCTCGTGTTCTTCCCCCATTGTTGACCTTCTTCGAGCTTGCAAACTCTCAATCCCTCCATGTATTCTTGCTAGTTTTTGAGGGAAAGGAGAGAGGGGATCTAGATCCATATTTCCACCAATCACTTTCTCCTCTATGTGAGGGGAACCCCTTGGATCTAGATCTTGGAGTTCTTGGCGTTCTCCTTCTTGTTCTTCCTCTCATTTTCCTCCCTAGCATTAGTTGCTTTGGTGGGATTTGGGGGAGAAGGACTTGGGCACTCCGTGTGCCCTTGCCATTGCATTTGGTGCATCGGTTTGAGTTCTCCACGGTGATACATGGAAGTTACGAGTTGAGAAGCTTATTACTCTTGGGTGCTTGGTACCCTTGAGCTTGTTCCTCTTGGGTGCTTGGGCGCCCTAGACGGTTGAGGTCACCTCGGAGCCATATTCCATTGTGGTGAAGCTTCATGGTGTCGTTGGGGAGTTAACCCCAACCTTGGTGGTGTTCGAAGCTCAATCATTGTGGTGTAAAGCTCTGGGCAAGCGTCGGGGTCTCCAATTAGGTTGTGGAGATCGCCCCGAGCAATTTGACGGGTACAGGTGACCGCCCCCAAGGGTTGCCAAAGTGTAAGGGTTCGGTGACCACCCCCAAGGGTTGCCATTTGTACAGGTTCGGTGACCGCCCTCAAGGGCCCCTTAGTGGAATCACGGCATCTTGCATTATGCGAGAGCGTGAGGAGATTACGGTGACCCTAGTGGCTTCTTGGGGAGCATTGTGCCTCCACACCGCTCCAAACGGAGATTAGCATCCGCAAGGGTGTGAACTTCGAGATACATCATCGTCTCCACGTGCCTCGGTTATCTCTTACCCGAGCCCTTTTACTTATGCACTTTACTTTGTGATAGCCATATCGCTTCTTGTCATATATCTTGCTATCACATAGTTGCTTATCTTGCTTAGCTTAATTGTTGGTGCACTTAGGTGGGCCTAGTTGTTTTAGGTTTTGTTCTTGTCAAATTAACCACTAGGTTTATTCTGCATTTGTTCAAGCCTAAACCGTAATTATTTTAAAACGCCTATTCACCCCCCTCTAGGTGACATCCTCGATCTTTCAGAGTGTTTATGATGGGTACTTGGTATGTCTTGGTTTGGCATAGATCTCCTCGACAACGGCGCCAGAAATTCTTCCTACTACCTCTTGAGCTTGCGTTGGTTTTTCCCTTGAAGAGGAAAGGGTGATGCAGCAAAGTAGAGTAAATATTTCCCTCAATTTTTAGAACCAAGGTAGGTATCAATCCAGTAGGAGACAACACAACAAGCCACCGAATACCTGCACAAACAAACACTAACTTGCACCCAATGCGACAAAGGGGTTGTCAATCCCTTCACGGTTATTTACAAAGTGAGATCTGATATAGATGGATAAACGGTAAAGTAACAATTTTGGTATTTTTGGTTTATAGATCAAAAAGTAAAAGATTGCAAAGAAAGTAAATAGGAAAGTAGAATTGTAGATCGGAAACTTATATGATGAAAAATAGAATATTATATGATGGAAAATAGACCCGGGGGCCATAGGTTTCACTAGAGGCTTCTCTCAAGATACAAAATACTACGGTGGGTGAACAAATTACTGCCGAGCAATTGATAGAAAAGCGCAAAGTTATGATGATATCTAAGGCAATGATCATGAATATAGACATCACGTCTATGTCAAGTAGACTGAAACAATTCTGCATCTACTACTATTACTCCACACATCAACCGACTCCTGCCTGCATC